CCTTTATGTATTCTGTCATCACTTCCTTTATGTATTCTGTCATCACTTTCTCTATGTATCCTGTCATCACTTCCCTTATGTATCCTGTCATCACTTCCCTTATGTATCCTGTCATCACTTCCCTTATGTATCCTGTCATCACTTCCCTTATGTATCCTGTCATCACTTTCTCTATGTATCCTGTCATCACTTCCCTTATGTATCCTGTCATTAATTCCTTTATGTATTCTGTCATCACTTTCTCTATGTATCCTGTCATCACTTCCCTTATGTATCCTGTCATCACTTCCCTTATGTATTCTGTCATCACTTTCTCTATGCATCCTGTCATCACTTCCCTTATGTATCCTGTCATCACTTCCCTTATGTATCCTGTCATCACTTCCCTTATGTATCCTGTCATCACTTCCCTTATGTATCCTGTCATTAATTCCTTTATGTATTCTGTCATCACTTTCTCTATGTATCCTGTCATCACTTCCCTTATGTATCCTGTCATCACTTCCCTTATGTATCCTGTCATCAGTTCCTCTATGTATCCTGTCATCACTTCCTTTATGTATCCTGTCATAACTTCCTCTATGTATTCTGTCATCACTTCCTTTATGTATCCTGTCATCACTTCCCTTAGGTATCCTGTCATCACTTCCCTTATGTATTCTGTCATCACTTCCTTTATGTATCCTGTCATCACTTCCTTTATGTATCCTGTCATCACTTCCCTTATGTATCCTGTCATCACTTCCTTTATGTATCCTGTCATCACTTCCCTTATGTATCCTGTCATCACTTCCCTTATGTATCCTGTCATCACTTCCCTTATGTATCCTGTCATCACTTCCCTTATGTATCCTGTCATCACTTCTTGTGTTCACTATCTTCTATCACGAACGACTATCATAAACTGTCACGGACGACTGTCAAGGAGGACTGTTATGAACGATTGCGTGGACTGTCAGAGAGAAGCTATCACGAACGACTGCCATGGACTGTCACGGATAACTGTCACGGAGGGTTGTCACGGATAACGGTTACAGAGTGTTAGGATCAACTCTCACGTTATCATGAGTGTTACCTCCTCACCAGGAAGACTGAGGGGGGGAAAAGACAAAAACACGAGGAATTATGTATGTTTGGTCCAGGCAGTGAAGGAGCAGCCGGTACTGTATGTTATAGTCATAGGTGATTATCTCAAGGCTCTCAGGGTCTTTCTGGATCTGAGAACTCCTCCTTCAGAAGCTCAGGTGGATCTCAGGTCTTTTAGGGTGTCATCTTGTAGTTAAAGGTTGTTTCAGGGTTTTCAGATGTCTTCTTGTACTTCTGAACACCTCCGTCAGTAGCTGGACATACTCTCGAGGTCCTAAGTTCTTCCTCGGTCCTAAGAACTCTCGTGTAACCCTGCGTCATACATCTCGGGATCTTTATCTACCTGGGTACTCCTCCGTCAGTTGCTGGAACTCCTCGTCAGGTCGTTCAGGAACCAAGAAAGTCCTAGTGAGAAGTTGGAGCTTATCGTAGTGTCTTACCGAATCTAAGGAGGGAGAAAGATGAGGGAGAGAGGTGAGAGAGGAGGTGGGGAGAAGGAGGACGTGAGAAGAGAAGGGAAAGACTGCAAGGCGCAAAGGAAAGGGTATGGGTGGTAGGTAAAGGAAGGGGTGGGGAGGCATGGTTAAAGAGTAAGGAAGGCGATAAGGCAGGGGTTAGAGAAAGGGGGGAGGAAGCATGGGTGAAGAGAGGGGTGAAGGGGGAGAAGCTTGAGTGAGGGGTAGGTAAAGGAGGAGGGACAGGGAGGGAACATAGACAAGAGGAAAGGGGAGGACAGGGGACATGGGCGCGGGGAAAGGGTGAGGAAGGTGACAGATGTGAGAGCATTGAAGGGGTTGATGGGCTTGTGGAAGGTTAAGGGTAGGGGTAGTAGGTAGGGGAAGGGGAGCTGGCACGGGTAAGGGTGAGGTGGAGGGGTGGGAAGGGGAGTACAGAGAGGTAGGGAGTGGAGGTGTTATGGGGTAGGGGTGTTAAGGGGTAGGGGGTTAGTGGCAATGGGAGGGGCAAGGAGTGGAGGGAGAGGAAGGGGTAGGGAGTTACTGGTAAGAAGAGAGGAGGGAGGGGCGAGGGGAGGAGAGGAGGGGCGTACACGACGAGTGACACAGTATTCATCATCTAGCTAACGACGGCCGCCCTTGGACATGCCAGGAGCGCACGGGTGGCCGCCGACGCTACACTACTGCCACACTCTTCCACACCTTCCATCCATCAATCCTCAACTAACCGTCTCTATTCAAACCCCTTCTATCATATATATCCAATATATCTAATGTTTCTATCCATCATACACCTCATGAATAGTTTATATCGTTTTTAATTCACAACAAGCGTAAAATGGTCTAATAAAACGAACACTTTAAGACCCTCGATTCATCATTCTCCGTCCGGTAGACGTTGGCAGCACTGGCAGGGGGAAGGCCTGGCTGGACCGTGGGAATTACAGGTATGTTCCTCTACCTGCATCTTCTCTATGCTGATCCCCCAAGATGCTCGCTCCACGCGAAATTCAATCCCCTTATGTAGTATTTGTAAAGACTAAGCGTACTTATCGTCCATCTGGTTAGAGCATCAACCTCTCACTACCGGGTCGGGCCAGCGAGGTGTGGGGCGCAGCCTTGGTGGTCTGTCAGCCGGTCTCCTCAAAGACTCCTATCTGGGTTTTTTCTCTTGGCTGCGTCTCTGATAAGTATCCTAAAGGCGTACTTATAACTAACGGTGTAAATGTTGCGACTAAAGTGGCGTCAAAATTGCACAGAGACTGTACTGAAACTAGTAATTTAGGGTCCCGAGTCTCATAAGGGGTTGGGTTAGGTTATGTTTGAGTTAGTTATGGATGTAAGGAAGCATCAATCTGTCTGACTGTTATGCTGCAACACACAGGCAGCAGCTCATACTGGAGGCGCCATCACTAATCCTCAGCCACAGGGGAAGAAAGATAACATAAGAATCACTGAGCATACAAGCCAAGGGTCCACAGTTTAAAACATTCGTCTTTCACTTTCCCTCCCACCTGGATGTAGAAGACCATAGATACTTACAGGTACAGTCTCAGGTAATCTTCACGCCATCTTGTCCGCCATATTTCTTTCGTATCTCAAGTTGGTGAGTCGTAGCGTTTTAAGACTTCAAGTTACGAGAAAGAAAACAAATACGACGTAGGAACGTTTTAGAATCAAGGCCCTCAACTGAACTACTTGCCTCGCCCGCCATTGTGTCGTGACCTGCCAAACTGCACTCGTACCCTGGACCTGTAATTAACCGCAGACGGGTCATTTCCTCGGACCGTTTGCTTGTGTTAACTGCCTCGTTCATGCTAACTGCCCCGTCCACTATAATCCACCAATAGACTTGACGAGCTCACAGGTAATAATTTGCCGCAAATTGATTTTTTTTTTAGGGCAGGTTATATTTCCAGGCCAGAACAAGAGTTGGAGAGTGTAACTGACACTACCATCTCTCTGACCTCTTCTCCCTCTCCCTTTTTTCCTCCTCCCTCCTCTCCCTCTGTACCTCCTCCCTTCTCTCCCTCTGTACCTCCTCCCTCCTCTCCCTCTGTACCCCTTCTCTCCCCCTCATTTCCACTCCTCCCTCCCCTCCCTCTGTATCTCCTCCCTCCTCTCCCTCTGTACCTCCTCTTTCCTCTCCCTCTGTACCCCTTCTCTCCCCCTCATTTTCCACTCTCTCCCTCCCCTCCCTCTGTACCTCCTTCCTCATTTCCACCCACTCCCTCCCCATCTTTTCCACCTCCTTCCCCTCCTCATCTATACCCTCTCTATTCCATCCTTCTCCATCCCCTCCCTCCCCTACTTCTCTTCCCCGTACCCCTACCTTCCATCTTCACCCCCACCCCTCCCTCTCCTTCTCCTCTTTTACCCCCTCCTCCCCTTCTCCTCCTCTACCTCCTCACTCCTCTCCTTCTCCACCCCCTCTCTTCCCTTCCCCTCCTCTACCTCCCCTCCTTCTCCACTAGTTATGAAGTGTCGCTATATAGGGCAGGACATGTAAACAAAAGAGAGTTAAATCGACTATCACTTTATTTCACTGATGTAATATGACGTCACGGGTGTAATATCAACTGTGACGTATTTTAATTTTGTGTTTCCTTAATTTTAAATCAATCACCAATAACTTTTGTTCTCCATGTATCGATTGTTGTGTTGTCAGTACTCCAGTGAAATCCAATCCATTATCCCCAAACATACCCCTCCTCCCTCTGTCTCTCTCTCTTTCTCTCTTATTCCCAATCGCCAGACGCGCCATTGATTATCATGCCACACCTGTTATTGTGTGCGTTCCCTATAATCGAACTCGGCCACCATTCACCTCCTTCATTCCTCGCACGTTTTCCTTTATAGGATTCCCTGTTCGCTTACAAGTATCTAAATGTAGGACAGAAACACTAACCATTACGAAGCTAAATTACGCAGTTTTAAATATCTTATGAATGGTGTGTTAAACTTAGCGTTAACATGGGTCAGGTGTTAGTTATATTAGCCCTTGGAGGACATGCGGCTTGTGTACTGTACCATCCTATGACCAGTATATAGTAAGATTTTTTGTTTGGTTATTTCTTCAATTAATATTGTTACATTTTACTATTTTAAATTTATTATATGAATATTATGTATCGTTCAGCAAATCCCTACACGAAACTCACGTGACTGAAGCCACACACTTGGTGACACCGTCTGTGTGTTAGAGGCCCAGTTGACCCTTGTACTGAAACACTCGACCTCCTCTGTCTAATGGTTGGTTAAGATTTATTATCTAAACCTTCTGATTTACGACTTTTGTCTCATAGAAAATGTTATTACACTTTTATTTCACAACACTTACTTTGCAGAAAACAACCCTAACCTGTGATGGTGAAAAATATATGTAACACTTTATCTGCCATGGTATATAAGTGTTTGATCAACAGCCTCCGTTATCAGTAAGCTTGTATGGTGTATTCTTCACTGTAAGTCAAACATCGTCTCACACATCTCAGTGATCTCACCCTTGATCATGGTGCCTCTAGTATAGAACCATGATCTCGACCACAACTTCTCCAGGATCACAGCTTTCTTGGGGACGGTAGCCTTCTTGGGGACAGCAGCCGTCTTGGGGACGGTAGCCTTCTTGGGGATAGCAGCCTTCTTGGGGACGGCAGCCTTCTTGGGGACGGCAGTCTTCTTGGGGACGGTAGCCTTCTTGGGGACAGCAGCCTTCTTGGGGACGGCATCCTTCTTGGGGACAGTAGCCGTCTTGGGGATAGCAGCAGCTTCTTGGGACGGCATCCTTCTTAGGGGACAGTAGCCTTCTTGGGGACAGTAGCCTTCTTGGGGATAGCAGCCTTCTTGGGGACAGCAGCCTTCTTGGGGACACAGCCTTCTTGGGGACAGTAGCCTTCTTGGGGATAGCAGCCTTCTTAGGGGACCTTCTTGGGGACGGCAGTCTTCTTGGGGACAGTGGCCTTCTTGGGGACAGCAGCCTTCTTGGGGACAGCAGCCTTCTTGGGAATAGCAGCCTTCTTGGGGATAGCAGCCTTCTTGGGGACAGCAGCCTTCTTGGGGACGGTAACCTGCTTCTTTCCCGTTTAGGCACCATCGCGGTCATAATGCTTCATCGAGCAGCTTATGAGAGAGAAAATTTATGTGCATAAAACCTTTTCATATAATAATCTTTCACGTCAGTCTCAGTTGACAAAAATCTTGAGAAAAAAATTATTGAGGTCAAAGTTCTCTCTCTCTCTCTCTCTCTCTCTCTCTCTCTCTCTCTCTCTCTCTCTCTCTCTTGATTATGTATTTTTCTTAATTCTCTCTTCTCTTTTCTTTGGTTATCTTCTCTATAGTTTTATAAAAGTCTTACTATTTTACTCGGTATTTTCTGTTTATTTATTTTTTATTCTTCCTTCTTGACATTAAATTTTGTCTCTGTCATTTCCATTTCCTAATCTTGTCTGCCCTTTTTACTACGTCTTATCTTATCCTCTCCCATTCCTCTTTTTTCTCTCCATTCTATCTTTCTCTGTCTATACCTTTATCCTATCTGCCTCTTAATTAGCTACACCTATTACCGTCACTTTTATTCCCGTTGTTACCGTCTCTTTCTTTCTTTCTCCTTTCATTCTTATTTTCGTCCTTTTTGTCATCATTTAGTCCAGTGGGTTAATTGATCTAGGGGAATTTCCTCAATACGACTTTGTTTACCTTATTATTTTTAGGGGAAATATTTTGTCTACTAGGGAACTGTATAGTGTAGACTGTAGAGAATTTCCCTCACCTCTCCTCTCTCTCCCTCGAAGTGGGATTGTGTCTGTGAATGGAATTAAAGAAGAGATTTATCCTCCATCAGCGTGTCTCTTGATTTTTGAGGCACTTCGGGTGAGACGTAGAACAAAAAATAAATAAAAAACAACAAACAAAACAACAAAAACAGCAAAACTCTTCATTTAACTGTTAATATACTATTGTTATGTGTAAAGAGAAAGAAGTAAACTTGGGTTTCCATTTACAGCTGGGTGAACTGGTAGCGTCCGGGAATCGAACGACTGATCCCTGGAACAGGAGGCGAGCGCTGTGTCCACTCTACCGCTTAATTACGAGGTAAGAGGTCTTTAGTTATTTCTGTAATTAATGCGTTATAATGTCAACAACATCTTCATAGTGAAGGTGAGTGGATTACCTGAGGATTAGGCACCCCAGCTTGTTTCATCTGATGATTAAATACCTTAATCTAATCTGACCTAACCTAACCTAAGGTATAGCCTAGCCTATACCGACACTTAACCTAACCTAACCAAACCTAACCTTGCCCCTAGGTAGAATTAGGGTCTTTAAAATTATCAGGTGTAATAAGCTGGGGTACAGTACATAATCTTCAGGTGATGAAGAGGACCTAAGGAAACGGAGGTGAGTTATTCCGGGTAAATATCGAGAAAAAAACTCTATCGTGTGTGTGTGTGTGTGTGTGTGTGTGTGTGTGTGTGTGTGTGTGTGTGTGTGTGTGTGTGTGTGTGTGTGTGTGTGTGTGTGTGTGTGTGTGTGTGTGTGTGTGTGTGTAAAAAAGATGTTTAAAATATGTCTCTAGAACAAAAATATCGTATTTATGTATCAGGAAAAAGAACTTAGAAATAAACATCTCCCCGACACACAACCATGTACTGTATATACTTATTTTAGTTAAGTTACCTTCTTAGATATTCCGATAATAATTTCTCCCCAGAACTGATGTGAGAACTCCCCTGGGTAACTATCCTCAATTATGACTCAAAGATGGCGTCGAAAATACAACGAGAGTTTAATTATATTCCCTCTTAGTACTGCAAATGGGAATAAAGGAATTGACGTATGAATATTTGAGAGAATTTTGGCCTATATTGATCTCTGTTTACCACCATATGAAGAATCTCTCCTCATAAGTCCCTCCAAACCCCGTCTCCCCTCTCCCCCTTACCGTCTTCCTCACGGCTTCCCTCTCCTCCCCCCCCCTCCTTATCACCCCCTCCATCACCCTTAATTCTTAGTCTGATGCAAAGTTTTCGCCGTTGAGGAACTCGTCAAACCCGAAGCCTCATTCTGAAAGGTTGGTGAAGCCGTAATATTACTGGTGCGCGGATAAGAAAAGGAGGGAGGTAAAGGTTGTGGGGGTGGTCGTGGGAGGGGGAGGTAGGGTTGGGAGGGAGAGGTTAGAGCATTGGAGGGGGAGGAAGGGCATGGGAGGGGGAGCAGTGGACCACACACACACACACACACACACACACACACACACACACAGTTGAGCACCTCACCACGTCTTAAATCCTGATGATTCTCAAAGATTCATACGAGTGACTTGAGTGAGTTCCTCTGTCTTGTATTGATATTTCGAAGACAGTGTTTCTAGTTGTTATCTTTGTTATGGTTAGAGTGAGACAGTTCATGGTAGTGTTCTCACAGCTCCAGCAGTATAAGATGTATCGTGGCGGGGGCTTTTAGATCCGGGTTCTGAAGCCATGGTCGACTTTGTCTCTCTCTCTCTCCAAGCTGGTAAACATTCTCTCCTCCCCACGCCCGCCATATTTTAAAAGAGGATTATAATGCTTTAATGACTCTATCCGTACGAGGTCATTTGCATACTCTCCTCCGACTCTTTTTTTTTAACCTTAATGATGATGGAGAGAGAGAGAGAGAGAGAGAGAGAGAGAGAGAGAGAGAGATAACAAGAACGTCAAGAGAGACATATATAAATTGGTAATCATTTGTCGAGGTGATTAATATTTGTGATGTTGGAGCTACTTAACCGCCGTGGTGTACTAAAGGACCATTATCCCACACTGTTGTTAGTCATCAGGTGAGTGGGAAGTTTTTAAGCTTGTTCAAGACCCTGTTTGTACCCTACACACACACACACACACACACACACATTTATTACACTACTCCCTGTTTAATATCACCTGAAGATTAGCCCCTCAGCTTATTTTTCTTGATGACTGAACATCCTAATCCCACCGTCACCTTTCCCCTCCTTCCCCACCACTCCTTCCACCCTCTCCACTTCCTCCATCCCTTCCACCTCCTCCAATACCTCCACTCAATTCACCCCCTCCACTCCTTTCAACTTCACCCTTCCCCCCTAGATCCCCACCACTCACTCCACCTCTCCACCACTACTACTCCCTCCCTATTCATGTAATCACTGCTATCATCATCCATAGGGGAAGGGGTTGTATGGAGGTAACACTAGGATGGGTGGGGGGTGAGGGGGTGAGGTTTGTCTCCCCCACCACCTCCCCGACCCCCGCTCCCACCCACCAGAGACAGACCTTTAAACTCCAGGTAAGGGGGTTAAGGATTGACTGCTGCCCATCGACGAGAGAAAAATAAATAAATAAAAATCACATATTGACTAAATTCCATAATGATCACCTGACGCTGTATATGGGTACAAAAAAATTCTCTTCTAGTATTTGTGATCTGGTTTGTGGTATTTTTGTGTTTTTATGATCCGGTTTGTGGTATTTTTGTCCAATTTATGATCTGGTTTGTGGTATTTTGTCCATTTCATGATCTGGTTTGTGGTATTTTTGTCCATTTTTATGATATGGTTTGTGGTATTTTGGTCCATTTTATGATCTGGTTTGTGGTATTTTTTTCCATTTTTATGATCTGGTTTGTGGTATTTTGGTCCATTTTATGATCTGGTTTGTGGTATTTTTTTCCATTTTTATGATCTGGTTTGTGGTATTTTTGTCCAATTTATGATCTGGTTTGTGGTATTTTTGTCCAATTTATGATCTGGTTTGTGGTATTTTTGTCCAATTTATGATCTGGTTTGTGGTATTTTTGTCCATTTAGAAACTGCTCAGTGGGATTTCCTTTTCTTCGGGTGATGTTTTCTTTTGTGGGATTGACTTCGTTCACCTCCTCTACTGCAGCAGCCACGAGAGACTATAGTCAAGGAAACATGATAGTCATTGTTGTTTATTTTCACCTACCATGACTGGGGTATCGCTTGGCACCTTGAGAGAGAGAGAGAGAGAGAGAGAGAGAGAGAGAGAGAGAGAGAGAGACCACCACAATACTTGTCACAAATTCTCGTTTCTCCTTTTTGAAGATATTGTGTGTGTGTGTGTGTGTGTGTGTGTGTGTGTGTGTGTGTGTGTGTGTGTGTGTGTGTATTGGCTTGCAAAAAATAATAAAACAATTTATTTTTCATTTAATTATCATGATAAATTATGTTTTGTGGTCATATTATTTTTATTACCCGATATCAGCGTCCATGACATTGAATAGTTAGACACTAGCTGTTATTCATAACCCAGACTTGACACAAATAACATCCCTCACTTGTAGAGAACCTTACTAGCCAGGTCATAAAGGCACACTAAATGTATCTCTATAAACGAGTATCTGGCAACCCCTTTCTACATCTTAAAATGAGGGGGTGAAGGGGGGAGAGTCTACGATGGGTCTAATACCCTATTAGCATGTAGATTAGAGCCTCATCTTCCCTTGATCTACCTTACAGGTCTTGGTACCTTGAGCTCTAAAGGAGGAGCCTTCCGGGTCGTGTGTGTGTGTGTGTGTGTGTGTGTGTGTGTGTGTGTGTGTGTGTGTGTGTGTGTGTGTGTGTGTGTGTGTGTGTGTGTGTGTGTGTGTGTGTTATTTAGTCTGTCCTGTTTTCCTTAATTACAAAATATTTTATGGACGTTGAATATTCTAGTTTGCTTACTGCCAATATTTTTATGTGTTTACCTTGAGTATTCGTATTTGTTTACCTCGAATATTCTAGTTTGTTTATCCTGAGTATTCTTGTT